GGGGGCACGCGAGGATGGGGCATGTGGGAGGTGTTGTATTCGTTGATATTTGTTCATCTCAGGTACTGAAACCTGAACCTTTGAAATATATTAGGACGTATATATAAATTAGGTCACATATATCATATTGAGACATGCGCATGATGGGTTTTACCTTAATTCGGTCAAATCCATTACATGAATTTTAAGGGAGCGTCTTGGCCAAACCATTTGCAAAGGATGGGACACCCAAGAGACCAGCTTCTTTTAGCCCCGCTTGTTGTTTTTAGAAAATCCCGCGCCAAATGAGGCTTAACGGTTTCGTTATTGTGCGTGCGTTTTCTATCCATCCTTTCGTTTTATATTACTCAGATGCATTTCAATTGCAGATACCACAACCCATAGATATTGTTCGTTTTGCATGGTAGTTTGTTTCAAATCTTGAGTAACGTGATAACAGCTCATTTTCTTATAATCAATATTTTTCCTGTATTCAGATTTTTAACGACGATGGCGCCATTTCAATCCTTATGACGCCCTTGTGATTTTTCACCTTTTTACAACACTTCTCTTTAACTTCACTTCTTATTGGTTGTTTGTTTGTTTGTCTGTCTGCTCCAAATCTTATCATCCATATTTAACACACTTCTACCCCTCCAATCGCTCTGAAATTTTACACACTTGCGTAAAGTTGAAGACAATGCATGAATAAAATGACTGATTAAATAATTTTGAAATTTTGAATTTTATATATATGAAAAAAATTAAAAATTAATGTTCTTTAATATATGGAAATAAGATCAGAAATTCATTGTACACATGTAACATCGGAGACACTGGATTCTTAGGAAGTGTTGCCTTTAAAAAGTAATTTTTAAACGCATATTATTTATATTTAATGATTGTTGTTGATGCTCATAGGATGTGAACTAAAATATCTAGATTTTTGTTTTTTGTGCTTGGTTTTCCGAGTTTCGACTTTACCAAGAGCGCTTATACCGTTTAGGGGAGATAGTAGGCGGTATCGGGAAGAGTTAGATAAATACGTTTCCGTAATTCGTTCATTAATGTACTTTCCTTAAAAGCTTCGAATCTTGAACCTAAGACTCGATCACGGCCCTCTTTATATATTTGTATTTTTGCCTTTGAAGGAACACCACTACTAATTGTGCACAGTAAACAGCTTTCAATTTAAGACTTGATTCACTAAAAGAGCTTCTGTTTCAACGTTAAGTGGTAAGAATTAGCAATTAATGTTCGTTTAGCGATATCACCAAATATTTAGTTTACGTGATTTTAAAAAAAAATTTTAAAACTTTTTTCTATTTGCGCTTTGTCGGAGGATGTTTTCAAAACTGTGAATATTTCAAGTTGTTTTAGCTGAATAAGATTTATCGCATAGATTTTTATAATAATTGAGTGCTTTTTGAAAACGTTGATGAAAATGGTCTTCCAATTTAAATCTTTTATAGTTAGACAGTATTAAAATATATTTGTTTCAAATCTTCCACGATACTGTCTGGGACATTCCAGAAAATAATAAGCAATTATTTCAATATAAGCAAATACATTAATACATTAAATAATGTTTTATTTCCTTAGACGTTTGGAAATATAATTGAATCACTTTAAAAACGGAATATTGCTGAACTTGTAAGATCTGATATATCGACTCACTCCAATATATGAGTGTAACTGAATCAAGGGAGCTTGAGTCAGCCTAAGATCAATAATTGGATTCCCGGCACTATATACTGAGTAAAGAGAGTATGAACTACGAACGATCTTCTCAATTCATGAAGTAAGGTATTTTCGCTCTGTACATCACTTTGAGATCATGAATTATAGAAATTATTATATTTAATTACTCTAAATACTGTCTTTGACTTCTTTTGTTTTAAACTATTTTTCTCTCAACAGGTTAAAAATGGCCACTACAGGAGCCATTGTTGACTTGATGTCGTCTGCATCAGGAGTCGGGCTGCCTAATGAAAGAGATACAATTTACCGCAATATTGTCGGTGTCATGTCCCTGGCTCCCAAGATCATGCGGTACGTTTTGAACCTGGAATGTGAAGACAAGCCATGCGATGAGACCTACAGGCAGTACATGTAGTGCCGGCGCGGAAGCCCTTACTCGAATAAGGAATGGAAAAGGATATTTGCATTTAGTGCATTTGATTTAGAAAATATTAAAAATGCTGACAATCTAAATATTTTTTCATCTTTCATACTGCTTGATGGTCTTCTTTCGGAACCTGAAAAACAAAAAATTCCGAGCGATGGACTGCTGAATAAGCTGCGTGCTGTCAAATATCTGCGGAACGAGGCCTCTCATATTTTGAATATTTATCACAACCGACAGCTTTGAATGAATTAAAAATTGAACTTATGGAACATGTAGAAAAATCCGAAAGGTTTTACTGTCTTCCCCAGTCTGAACTTGTAGATATAAAACTGGAGCTTATCCACGACGTACAGAACTTGCTGGCGCCGTCAAAGAATGCCGAGCAAGCCGCCCTCGCCAAACTCGCCGAGGACGAAATTTGGACAATCAATAATGGTTGGTGTTGTTTACTGCTGAATCTGCTAGGGTTCAGCAGATTCAATGGATGTTGAATCTTTTGGGAGTCAGAATTAGAGAGGATGTTGAATCTGTTAAGAAGAATGGTTGAATACCATTGAATAGATAATGACTTAAGACTGATTTTAATATGAACAATTTTATCGATATGCAAAACTCGACACTTGATGAAAACTCCGACGTGTGCTCCACAAACACACGCAATCGCCGACAAAATTAATTGTGGCATAGTTTCATTCCTAATAAATTTAGATATAAGTTAACAGAAATCTAAATTTATTATTTTAAATTTTTTCAAAACTGTTAAATTCGACAATAAGCCGGAAAGAAATATTGTACCCCTTACTTTGAAGCCATCAAAAGATGTCCCAATCGGATTGAGCAGAAATTCCTAAACCAATTTTTGACCGCGTATGAAATAGCCATTACTCCCACTTATTTTAAATTCCGACTAAGCCTATTTACACATCGCAGGTCGTGAGCTTGCAGAGATTTGTCCGACGTTACCGCACGTGCAGCCAAGACTGCTTACGGTGTCTATGGAAGCCCCCGACCTGAGGGCGACTCAGTGGGCAGAACTTGTGACGCGTCGCGTGGGGGACGTCGAACTTCGGCTGGGGGGCCTTGAATGCGAGTACGATGCCCATGACGACCTCCTCCAGCCACTGCTTGGGAGCAAGTAAGAACCTATTAGGCTAACAACAAAGCTAAGATTTCAAATAAATATCACAAAAAAAGTGTATATACGTAGCCAAGCAAGGTACCAAACAAACAAATGTTTAACAAAACATCAACACCCACCGACTACCTCAATGTACGCAAATAAACATGATTGCATATTACTAGGAACTCATCTCACCTGCCTCTGTCGTCAGAGCCGCTTCGGCAGTGTCTTACACAGATCACTTAAAGTCAAGTACTGCATCGACATATAGGCAGAGACTCTTCCAAAATTTTAGGTTTTTGCAACTAATCTGAGGATAAAACTTAATACGCTGACGTTAACCGATAAAAGCGAAACACCGAAGCCACGACACCCGATAATCCGAGGTGGACCCAACAGTACCGGCGACAACTATATATACAGCACATGGCGAACCGAAACCGATAACCGAAACGCATATAGATCACGAGCCTAAGAGAAAAATTATTGAAGACCTAGATGTTGATTGCGTTCCTCTGACCAGATAATATAAACTAGAGAACCTCAGTACAATCGACATTGATAAACAAGTACACTCGCTCTCTGCTCACTCGACGAAAAGCTCTAACTTAGCCAAATTTTACCAACTTTCATATCCAACTTTCAATTTCGAGCCTTCCAAAACGAAATCCCTGTCTGCATGTACTCATCGCACTTACGTTTAAGACTTTCCATACTACGACAGAGGACACATCCTGCACTGTTTTAAACAAAATTAATGTTTCCGCTAAAATTTCTGAAGCAAATGAGCCTCAAGGTCTGGCCACGTGTTTAATTAGAAGATACAAGGCTGGCGTATAGACTATTTACTTAATTGTCCTGCATGGGGCAACTGAGAGTATTCGAGTAGACCGGGATGAGGAGGGATCAGCTTATTATAGGTATCAGTTTTGCCAGACCCACCCCAGAATGAACGCGGAAGTACTGGCGCTTTAGAAAAAATAAGTAAAACCCGTTCTATATTTTGTTACACATTTATTTCGTGGAAACTGCAACTCGCTTTTTATGAAACAAGTATCATAGTTCAGACGCTCGATTAAAAACTATTGGAAAAACAATGAGATGAGATGCAATCATCACAGTGTGTTTCTTTAAGTGCGTCAAATGTGTTTATTATTCGCTATTTTTGCTTCTATTAATCTATATATTTATTTATAGTGCTTTTATTGAAAATAATTGGTTCATTAGTGCAATTTTGATTTCTATCTCTGTCCGAACATAGCCCTCTATTTTTAGTGAGAACTTTCGAGAGAACGAGATTCTTGGGATTCACCAACTTGCAATTAGAGAGCAAAAACGCGAAACGAAGTATTTTAGATGATTTGTATCCTCATGTTTCCAAAAAATGAAACGCATTAATTCACTGACATCTTCGCTAATGGTGATTTGCCCATTAGACTTCGGTTAAATTAATCATACATCAAATGTCCGGCATTACTCACCCATGGTTTTTTTCTTGCAAATGTTTTCAAATTTCGTTGTTGTTGATCTTCCCCGAATCCTGGCCTGGTCACGCCCGGAAAGCCGCCGCCCGAGCCGGGCTCGGGCCAAAGCTGTCATACCGGCCTGGAGCCTGGGGGCTGCCGGGGTGTGGGGGAAGTGCATGACATTGGGGGGCTAGGTCTGAGTGAGTGCTGTCTAGCAGCGTTTGTACTATTATAGTGATGGATGGTGACCACAGCGGAGTCTGCTGAGGTGAACCCTATCTGCACGGTTTAATTGCTGCTCTGCATGGCTGATGTCTGGCGGCATGTTGTCTGATATTTTTAATTGCTGGATTTGAGAGTGCGTTCCGAGTTAGATGTGTGAGATGTTTGATGATGTTGGCTGGGCCTGTGGGCGGGGGTAAGGAGTTACTAATATCTCACAAGTATTGTGAGATTTTAGTGGTATGGAGTGTTGGCTATTTGTCTGGGTGTAGGAGGTAAATGCTGTAAGTGATGGCAGAGTCTGAGGGGGTTGTGGAGTGCTGACGGAAGGAATTGGGTGCCTCTCGTATCTAGGTGTTCCTTCAGAGGGAGGACTTTGATTTCTGAGTGGACGTGGCTGGATGTTGTGGTTTGGATGCTGCCAAGTGCGATTCTGAGTGTTATGTTTTTTTTTTGGTTTGCGGGTGGTTGTCGAGTGTGGGTGAGATTATGGGTACCCAAACTGGCCATAAGCGTATATATTTGCACTGAGCGTCCAGCGTCCAGCGTTTATATTGTTTGTACACTAGTATGAGAGTTTATTTGTTCTGTCCGAATATTGTTCCTGTGAGGGCTCTGAGTGTGTTTAGCCTAAGTCTGCATTTTGTTTTGATGTTCTGTATGTGTGGCCCAAAAGACATGGAAGTGTTGTAAGTGACACCTAGAAACTTGGTTTCGCGCGTGTGTGATATGATGGTGTTGTTTAGTGTGACTGTTGGTCTGTGTTGCTGCTCCTTTGTGTGGCTTGTTAGTAGAGTGCTTGCTGATTTAGTGGAGGGGGGGCTACTTTAGCCTGCTACGTGCTAGCCAGCCCTCTAGTTGTGTGGTGTATGGTTGTATTTGTGTGGAGCATGCATTTAACAACGGCAGACAGTCATTCATACACTACAGCAGTATAATGGCAAGCCATCTCACACAAAGTACATACCAAATGGAGTACCACTTTGATCAGTCCTCTCACCAACCCTTTTCTATCTATACATGCATGACATTCCAGCCCCACCAGACGACATGCACATCTCACCCTACGCGGACGACAGCACAATTACATCCACACACACGAATGCAAACACATGTTCGAATTTCGTTGTTGTCAAAGATGTTGGGTAGTTATTTGCCAGACTATTGCTGAAGGATCGACATTGGACCTTCCGTTGATCAGTTTTTCTAACTCATCAGTTTTTCGACTAATTCACCTGATAGCTCCTTTGGTTGTTTTTCAATTGGTTGATCAAATGGTCGAATGCAATTTCCAGCTACTGATTGGTGCAGTAGGCAGCTCTACATGTCCTTCGTTAGATGCTCCTTGAAGGTCCCTGATGGTGTTATGAAAATTTCTTAGTAAGATCACAATTTTTTACAGTCACAAACTACGCTTTTTTTATTCGTTAGTATCCTCCATAATATAAACTGAACATATTACGATGATTCTATTTAAAAAAATACCATCGTGATTGGCAGTGGAGTTGGCTTCACTTATTTCTTCACAGAAGTGGGAGGTGACGTAGGGGTAAGTACAACTATTTTCATATCTATCCTGTTGCAGTCTAATAAAACCCCAATCATAGATATACTATTGGTTTTGTTGTATCATTCCAGAATTAGACTGGTCCACTTGGAGGGTTGTGTGGGCACCCCCGCTGCAGTGGCCGCTCTCGCTTCAGTTGTCCACAACGCTCGTCTGACCATCCGCATGCCGGCGCCCCTGGACCTCAGCGCCCTCAGTGGCACGTACGAGCAACTCGGTGAGTGGAGACGAACTCTTCCAGAGACGGAAGTAGAACCCAGTCAACCCTCTCCCAGTCAACCACAGTCAACGAACTCTTCCAGAGACGGAAGTAGAACCCAGTCAACCCTGAGAGAAAGCCTTTCCTATTCAAGCATCAACTGATATGCTCCCAGATTTTATGTAAGGGGGGCCGCACAAACTATTCCATAATTGCCTAACATAAACATGCCGACCATTAATGACATGCCGACATTAACATAAACATGCCGACCAGATTATGAGCCCGGTATTTCGCGATGCTTCTATTATTCATTTAAACTCCTTTTCTCCTAAAGTTCTAGAAACTTCTTATAAAATAAAACCTTCTTAAACTTAATAAACATATTATAACAAATAAAATAGATAAATAAAGCTGAATAAATAAACAACTTAATAATAAAACTAATAAGTAAAACTTCCCATATTAAATAAGCTACAACCATTTACATTAGTTACGAAGATTTGAAAGTCTGTTATGATGCTCTTCTACACTTCATTTCAGATACCTAGCTTTTGACGTACGGTATAAAAGTATATATATCGGTAATTGTTACATATAAGCAATCAAGGGCTATTTAACGTCACTGATCTTCGGAGCTAAAACGGTTTTTATTGTGGTGACATGACAGCGACGTAGTCTTTCACTTCAATTATGTTGTCCTGTACATTATTTTTAAAATATTTTTATCGTATCCATTTTCAGCGGCCTTCGTGCTCGCAACATCATTGACAATCCTTCACATTTCCCTTTACATCAGTTTTAGTGATTTATCATTGCAGAGGCCCAATAATTTAAATACAGAGCCTTACAGAGTCTTTCCATGTATTAAAATGATTCATGTTTACGATAAAGAATTTATAATGTTGGCCATATCTGTTTGAAAGCCAATATTTTGCAACTGATTTGCATTTCTTCTTGCGTGTTCTGGAGCTCTTCACAATGTAGCTTCGAGGCGGGGCATTTCAGTGCCTACCGCAACAAATGTCAGTTGGCGTTCAATTGCAGGGCCCGTTTGAAATACAAACTTCACTGAGTGTTGTGATGAATATCTCTAATAAACAATAAATGTTCCAATGGATTTAATAAATGCAGGCGTGTACACGTTCCCACTGCCCACCACCTCCCCAAAGTGTGCGCTGCCGTCATCGCCCTCACCAGCACTGCCTGTGGACGGGGCGGATGAGGGGTCTTGGGAGGCCGTGGCCCACACCGTCGCCTCATTTGCACCTAACGGGGACCGGTCGGTATTGCGAGGGAATTAATGGTTTGAATTTTGTTTATCTGGTTTAAAGACCGACTTGGAACATGGGATGATGGGTTTTCGCTGTTTAACCACATTCAAAGTGCTGGAAGAAATAGTAATTTCTTTATGCATGCTTTGGCTGATCCAAAAATTCATTTTAAGTTCACGGATACGGGACGCTAATTCGAACGCAACCTGCTAGGCATTGTATCTACTGGCAGAAACTGCGCACGAGAAAAAACATTTATTGAATGTTTACTTTCGAAAAATAAACTCGCGAATACTCAGATGCTATTTACTACCCTTACGATCTTAAGTTTCAGAGCACCATGAACTCAAACATAAGTTAAACGACAGCGTTCCAACAAGGAAATTGAAACTTGATGCTGATAAAAATGTTTAAACCTTCCAGAATTGAAAGGATAACTTCATCTATTTAATCAGCCTGAAAATGATAACTTTAATGCAAATTCATACAATGGGTCCGCTGCTTACTGTTAGTTGGTTAGGATATTATTTAAAAAGATTGTGCTCGACGGTAGCAATGAATGATCAAGATGGTGGAAATTAGAGTAAATTTTGTGACTCGTCAAAAGTCTGTTACCTCATTTAAAAACATTGAAAAATATTTGACTGGGTTTATGAATGTGAAAATATTGAAGATCATGAAAATTTGTCATCAGCCAGATTTCATTTTTATTTTAAACGTTTGAATTTGTGACGAGTTTATTTTTAATGCCAGATAATAATAAATGAAGTTTGGGTTTACTGTGCGAAAATTATTAAGGATTGTGAGTCATGTAGAAAATCTCATTTATTGGACTGAACTAGAATGTTTGTGCGAATGTCCAGGTTTGGGGAGCTGGATGTGTTAGACAGCGAGCTGCGTGCGGAAGACGTGCAGCTTCTGCTGCTGAGACTCCAGGAGCTGCGCGTCAGGACGGGCGGCGAGGGTGACACGCGCGCCGAGACTCACGGGTGAGTTATCAATATTACGCGCGAAATTAATTTTAAAGTTCAAGATGTTTGATATTAAAGACGGTGTGATTATTGTTAAAAAGAGTGGACGCAAACGCGTGAGCAGTGAACACCCTGCGATTGTCTCCGAGTAGACTTGATTTTTTTCTTACAGACTCACTGCATCTAGGCTGCCAGAGAGTAGTTATTGGAAGTAGGGAAGCAACCAGCAATATTTGGCTGAGTCAAGCTCATTAATATATTTCAGCTGCAAATGAATTAGTTAACCAAGATACTGTACTTTTTGGACAGTCTCATGTAATCTTGTACATTTAGTTAACCTAGATTTGCTAGTCGCGTAATTGTAATGTTCAAGTTCATGGGTACCTATAAAAATATTCATATTTTGCAATATCCTGCCACTAAACAAAAACTAAATCAAACCTTCATAACTGGCGTAAGTAAGAACTTGCTGCGTTTTAAGATGTATTAAATGTTATAACGTAAATCGTCGGGCGGTAAAAAATTAAGATCAGATAAGATGACATGCATACTGATGAGTAAGGCTAATTGATAGTTCAGTAATACTGGAAATATGTCTCAAACTCTCAACACATGGTTTATAACCCATAGGTACATCGGTGTCGGTGTAATGAAACTACCCGCCTTCGTTATTATCGAATATTGTGACATGTTAGCAAACGAAGACGCGTGAAAAATCACCAGAAATAACATTAATTCGGTGTGAAAGCCATCTGCCATATCCAGCATCACAACGCTCCTACCACAAGGTTCTCATCACCATGAACAATTAAACATTCTTTTATCATGACATCTTCTCGCTCAATACTCTATTCTTATCATGAAATATTCTCGCTCAATACTCCTCTCCTTTATCAAGAACGAAAACGATTCCTCAATTGAACGCTTGTGTTTTTCTGCTCATGGCAGTGTTTGAGATTTCGCACTTGAGGTGTCACACCCTCAGATGTCGCACCTTAAAATTTGCCTTGTCCCAACAGGTCAAAGGTTCATCTGTACATCACTGATGACTGCAAACTCAACAGTGAAAGCGCTCAGCACAAATTAATGATCTGATACTGCAACAGCGGTCAGGAGCAGCGAAATAAATTGCCGTAACACACGATCGTCGTAAAATGAGATCGACGCAACATGCGTTCCATGAAGCTCTTCTTGCTAATTGTACAGATTATGAAATTATAACTTTCTCCTCTAAGACGCTACTCACAATACTCACAACCAACAAATCCTTGATAATTAAGACGAACGTTTTCCATACAAAGGAGCGGATCATCTAGCAAACGCAGGATCATAGACCAATTGTGCACCTCCGTCGTTTCAGTCCTTGTTGAACGTTCCATGTTGTCGGATCTATTGCTGCGTGTCCACACACATTAATGTTATCCAGAAATAATAAATCGGACTTTATTTTTATATAGAGTTTCAACAGTTTTTCAAGTTTTTTAAAAACTTCCTTTTCAATTACACTTAGGCGTCGAATAATGATTCTGGATAAAAAAGACACGATCGCAGTTCTGAAATAAAAATCCATATATTCTAACGTTTCGGCTATCTACACTTTAGCCATCATCAGAGTAAATAAGATGATAATCTGGAAAGAATAGGATTTCAGATAAGAATTCAGTAGTTATCAGATCAGATTTTATCTATACAAATTGAGGAAATTTGACATCTCTTGGTATTTTACATTGATGAACGGATTATTTTGCCTAATAGCTATTGCCTCAATATTGACCCTGTTACTGTACCTCTTATCAGAAAGCTTGAGAGATTAAACTCAAAAGATGTTCTCAATAAAACTGGCATTATTTTTAACCAAACATATTTAGTAGCGTAAAGGAAAGCCCGCTAAAGCGGTAGTTTTGTAGCAACTAGCAGGAATTCCCTTTGAATTGGCAAGCCAATTCACTCGCGCCGGAAACCAAACCGAAATATTTGATTCGCCTATAGTCAAATGCTCTATTGAATTTAATCGGGAGTGTTATATATCAGAGTGAATCGTTTTGTATTATATTGATCATTTTCTCGTCAGTCAAATCGATTTTGTTAATTACTATAACGTTCATTTTTTTAGCTATGTTTGCATAAGTGCCCATAAGTCACAGAAGAAATAAGGGCACAGTAACTGACAAGTGCGCCGCAATTTCACTCGCGTTAGAACTGCTCCGACCCAACGGTCGACGTCTTAGCCTTATACCACTAATATAACTCTCATGCATAACCACCCCTTATCAAGATGAGTTCTCTGGACAGATGGTGTCTTACTTATCCCTCACGCACTTAGTCGACGAATCCCTGTCCTCAGGTTCAGGTAGAAATATATAATAAGTCTGGAGGCGCATAAACGTGCCTGCGGACACTTCCATGAACCAGAGGAGTCTGTATGAAATGAGGACAGCACGAATTCATCTTCGTACTCATGCTACTAAGTGACTACTGCTTAGAAGGAGGGGAGTGCCAACGAAAAGGCTAGCAGCTGTCAACAAGCATGCCGCTATCCGTATTCTAATTTGCTGTGGAATTATTATTTAAGATCCACAAGCGGAGCGTTGTGTCGGGTAAAGTATATAAAGTTGAAGTGACTGTGAAGAAATGATTGTGTTCATGTTCCTCCGTCTTGCAGAAGACACACATGACCAATTTCTAATATTCTCAACAAACCTTGTGCGCATATTCACAAGCGTGACGTTGCCACTTTAGGAGGAGGGATGAAGTCATGAATTGGTACAGACAAAAATTCACACAGGCCAAGTGAAGACACATGTACCAAAACATATCACAAGCTTCATCATCTTATCTCATTTCCGAACAACACAAGAGACTTAGACGACTTTTTTGAGATGTATTTAGATGTGAAATTTTTCTTACACAGTGACCTTTTATATAAAAGTAAAAGCCTCGGGCGAACAATTGATTTGAAAATTAATTGCTTCAATTTAATTTGATAATTCTACTTCTTTCTCATTCCTTTGATTAGAGTAAATGATTCATTTGATATACGATTCCTGATTATAGAAGCCAGTAGTACCCGAGGAACCAAGCTGTTCGGTCAGTTAGATTTCTTTGATTACTTAAATTATTGATTATCCCGTTTCATTGTTTTTGATATGTCTTGGTTCATACATCGTCATTTCATGAATCCTTTGTATATTTTTCTTAAATATTTTCGTGTAATTTTCTTTCTACAACCCGTACGTCATGGAATGTTCATTTCTTATCCTGCCATGATGGCGCGTCTTGGAATAGCTTAGTAGACGTTCCCAAAAGACTAGCCTACAAGAAAGTCCCATACGTACACCATGCTTGTAGGAAGATGGAATAACTTACTTTCTAAATAGAAAAAATCATTAGTTATGTGGGAATATTGAATAAGGCAGAGACATATTAGGTATTATTAACGTTTTCGTTAATAATTCTCAGACACGTGAGACCTCCGTCCAATTGTAATGCTCTCATGGATCCTCCGCAGTTCAAACGTTTCCTCAGAAGTGTGGTGCGAGTTCTTACAATTTATTAGGTGTATTATAAAGCATTTAACATGTACATAACAAGTTTTGATGGTACATCCCATGGCTGATTAATTTTCAAACGTTGTGGTGAGTTAAGTGCTGAATTTTACTAGAGGCTCTATTATAGGAGTAAAGTAAATAACCGTTGCGGTCGTATATGCGGTCATATAAATATATATATATATATATATATATATATTAATTCAAGTAGACAGGTAATGAATATCATGCACGAAGGAAAGTCTCATGTATTCAATAATAACTCACGAGTATGCGGTAACCACGTGAAATATTTCTTAAACTTCTTATCATATTCGTTATGCGCACACACAACAACTCTTGAGCATGGATTGAATGTAGTCCCTTCTGTGATTTATCTAATGTTACAAGTTGATTTTGATGACGAGATAATATTTTTGCAGTATTAACTTAGCCCACAGATCGGATAATTCCTAATAAAGACGAATAATAACTCAAATATGTCAGACTGTGGGAAATTTCCCACCGTTAATCAGATTTCTATTCTTCAAACTGAATTTAGTTATAATTTATGTTTGGGTAATATTAAGATTATTCTAGGGTAAGTTTAATGTTAGGGTAATTTAGGTCAGACCCGCTTTTCCTTATTCAAAGAGAGTAAGCACTGATACACCACCGTAGCCACACGCAATTTTCATTATCTCCAGCCTGCCTGTCGTCGGCCGCCGCTACTTCACCTGCATTCTCAACCATAAGTCTTAAATTCTTCCTTGTTCTGTAATGTATCTATTCCTTGGTTTGTATGCTAGAGTTTCTTTCGTTTTGTTTAGTTGCTAACTGCTTTGCTTTATTTTCAACTGGATGCTTCAGTTTCAATTAATTATATTAATGGTGATCTTAATCACGTTCAACTATAAAAATTCAATTTACTTAAAGTTCAAGATGGCGGCACTGAAAATAGCTGTGTTGTCAACAGCGTAAGTCGTCACTTGTTCATTAATCTTCTTTCGAATCAAACTCTTCAACTATTCTATACTATTTCCTAACTGAAGCATCCTCCTTAATCTGATTTCATAAACAGTTCCATCTATATAAATTAAATAAATCTCTGAAGCTTTCATTCTACTTACTACCATTTGCCTTAAGAACGATTGTGTGAAATTATTCATAAGACAACAACCATGTTCTCTAATGATCGGAGTTTGAAAGCTCCTGCTCGACGGGATCGAGCGCAGCCGTGCGCCACCAATTTTGTGCACCAATAAGCCCTGAATCGAACGTCTTGGATCTCTCCGGACATCCAACAATCAGCCGTGAACCACTAGGCTTTGTCCTCCTCCGGCCTTGCATAAAACCTGCCGTGCACCACCGGACCGTGGATCGAATATGACTTCCGGGCATCGTTAAATTCGTTAAATTATGTAATTTTACGTTCACCGCATCTGAGGTTAAGTTTCAGATAGCATAGTTCTGTTCCAAAATTTATCGTCCTGCGACGAGTTGTCGTTCGACCGAGGGCTGATTCGACGCACGGCCTAAATATGATTGTCCAGAAGTGTTGAAGGCTACGTTCCGGAAGGCAGGACTCATGCCGGTCCATTACATCCAGGGCAGTGGTGGTCTTCGGCAGGTGACCCCAATACGAAATGTGTCCGGGATCTATTTTACAACACTTCACTTTAACTTAACTTCTTGTTTGTCTGTTTGTCTGTCTGCTACAAATCTTGTAATCGAAATTTAACACACTTCTACTTATCCTATCGATCTGAAATTTTGCATACTATGAAAAGTTAATTTTTTTAATTTTCGAAAATTAGATAAGAAATTCATTGTACATCTGTAAGATTGGAGATACTGGATTTTTTGGAAGTGTTGTCTTTAAAAAGTAATTTTTAAACGTATATTATTATTTAGTCTATGCTCCTGTTGCTTTCTGCTAGAAGAATACGATGGGCTCGCAAAAATATGAATTTTCAAGGGATTAACTGAATCACAAGGAACGGTTAACCGACTTGCTAAGGAATCCAAGCTGATATTTTGCAGCAGTAACATCAATACAGTAACAGACACAGTGACGCACGTGCGTTAACAATGCTGTGCCTTAAGATAATCATCGTAACGACTTAACGCATGAATCATATTGTAAACTCCAATTTTGTTGACTCACATCTAAATGTTCGACTTAAGCCATGTGGGGAGTGGTTTATGAAAATTTAATGATGTGTCCACCAAGATCATATTTAGCTATAGATTAAATCTCTGACTGGCATGAATAAATTCAATGGTTGAAAATTGTTATTATTGTGGCGAGAGAGAAGAGCATGTGTACCAGCTTCTCTTTATATGTTCGCTTTTTGGTCAACATTTCGATCCCAAATCAGACAGCTACGAGAGCCTCGTCCTGACTCTGGCGACCACTGGGCGGTTCGTTTGGGGATCATCCCCGTGTCCTGGGACGCCTCGTAGGCACTATTGGGAGGCGGCTACAATAAAAGTTGTTGACTACGTTTTGCTTCGAACCACTCGAACAAATTCACGTAAAGTTAATAAAGTTTAATTCGAGCGGTTGCTTCGCTTGAATTTTTAAGACGCCAGCGAGGTCAGGTGAAATAATAGGAACTGAATGGGCATTCACGACAAAAGTCTTTAACGACTTGCACGACAGCCTCCAATACGGTGATGGTGAAGAAAATATTGAGTTTGTCCCTGCGTGTGACAGTGTCCATGAAAAATTAATTTTCGCTTTGTAAACATCAAGCCTGTTATATTATACTACTTGTCATTACATAACCATGAACACAGCAAAGCTCATTTCCAAAAGGTGCTTATGGTAAGTTGCACTCCTAGCATGCATGGACAACCGGCATTGTAAATCCATTTCCATTAGAATTGCAATTTTTTACATGATAAAGATTACTTAGCATCAAACGCTTGCAT